TGATCATATATAAATATATATAAATGATCATATATAAATATATATAAATGATCATTCCTTTGACTTTAAAAAGTCAAGTAACGGTTTCAGACTTGGACAAGCTGAGCCGTTGAGCAGGGCAGCATCTCCTCAGGGAGCCATGAGTGCCCGCCCCCTCCACATTAAAACTGGTCTTGTTTCTGTCATAGATATCTACAGGAGATACCCTACAGACGGGCGCTGCCTGTTGGAGCAGACGTATCAGGGCGGCGGCCATCTTGGATGGTATCTCTCAGGAAACCCAGCGTTGGGTGATAAGATGTAAACTCAGGTGTTAATGAGCAGATCTTAACTCAGGTTCATGACATCACTAATCGTGACCAAAACAACCAGTTTTAAGACTCCACTGAGTTTGTTTGAGAACTTCTGTGAGACGTCTTTTATTTTGAAAGAGGACCCGATCGGCTTTCTCACTCTGTTGTAGGATTAATTGNCTTTATGTTTAAGAAGACACATTGTGGCTTAAATTTGTCATGTGTGGTAGGCATATCTGGACCCAAGTGCAGGCAGGCAGCTTCAAAGTAAAAGTATTTATTAAATAAATAAGCTGACGGGACGGTGAAACAGAAACTTACAACAAGCAGAAAAAGATGTGGAGAAGCCAAACAATGACCTGATACTGAGTGAAGAACAGACAGAACTGAGATGACTGAAAGAGAAAACAGCTGAGATGGAAAGATCTAGATTTGGCTGAGAACTGAGGAGAAGTGATGACGTAAAAAGGACACAAGAGGGAGACAGGACATAAGAATCCTACAGAGTTCAGATTAAATGAACAGAGTGAGGAAGGTTTTCTGAGACCAAGGTCAGGTTTACTCCTCCTGGAGGTGACCACTACATTCATTTTAATACAAAAAAAAGGAGGTTTCAAAAATACAAAGAGAGGAACATTGTGATAAAGCTTCAAAATATTGTCCTATCACCCAGGCCTACCTATGATTATTCATTTCATCTTAAAGAAAGCTCCTGTAACACCATTACTGTGTGTGAGATTCAGAGTGCTGATAAAGGTTTGCTGAGGTAACTGGAAGCTTCAGAACCTGAGATGGACCAGAACCATTTTGGGAAAATGTAATTTTTGATTACTGAAAACAGTAAGTTTGAGCTGACCCGGCAGGGTCTGATAAGGCTGTTTTTGATGGGGGGCTAGTCAGACCAGGTTCAGTTCTGCATGAAGCTCTCTGTACTGACCTCCAGAGCAGATCTGATCTGGACTTCAGGTCTGAGACACCTCACCTCATGACACAGACTAATGAACTGTACCTAATCAGGCATTGAGTGTTCACAGAATAACCTGGTTAAACAGCTGAGGCTAAACTTCATCATCTTCTTTCTGCAGTAAGATAAATGTTACTAAAATTATCTGCCTCAGACCTGCTTTCTAAACCCACAAAAACTTAGAGGGTCTTGTCAATTAATTTATAAAAAAATATATTTCCTTTGGGAAAAATATATTTTCATTCTATAAAGGTTTAAACATCCAGACCTTCTTAATCTAAACTAGACGTATAACATCAATTCTTTTCATCTTTAACTGTTTTATAAACCTTGTATAGCTTGTCTTTGTTCTTATTTTTACTGTTTTTATTCATGATTCAAATAAATTAATTTTTGCTGTATTTTTTTAATAAGACAAAGCTGGTTCATCATCTTTGAGTATTTTAGTCTGAGATAAGAATTCACTGCATATCATACGATCACTCACACTTCAGTAAAGATGAGTCTGATTAAAAAGGTGAATAAATGTTGGTCAGTAACTGACCTGGTGCCTCTACTTGGTAAATGTAGTG